AAAATAACATATTTGACATCACAACCTTGGTTGTAGGTAAGGAGTACCAAAGGCTGCCAAACAAATCCGCCTACACATAAGGAAGTCAACCGTGCATCACATCAGGCATTAGGTGTGACTGTGATGATTACCTTAGCGTTGTCCACAATGAGTAGTTTTCATTTTTCATCATACTATTGACGGATGGTCATTCCATACATTGAGGATATTATGGATGATTGATGTTCCTAGAACCAACGACTACCAGCCAAGATTTCCCCAAAAATATACAGTATCATATGTCTCACCTAATTTCAGCTCATGGAGCACGGAGGGGACAATGAACAAATTTAGGAAAATGTTTCCCCAGTTGGTCGTTATTTCAAATATTTCGATTTTAACAATCATAAAATCCATTCGTTGATCGACTACGCAGTGGAAAAACCACACAAATCGAAATGATTTTTCTCTTGTTACAGGTGGTAGAAGTGAATATCGGATCACTGGAGGAAAGTGATTTCCGGGAAAGAAATACCAGCAGACTGAATAACCTCATCGGTAAACAATTTGGATTCATATGAACAGTGATGGCAGGCTTAAACAATCCTTTTGCTGACTGTACACTTGGTGACCCTTGCTAATCATCTACACCTAACTATCATTAAACAATAAATCGTATATATACACATCACAACGTTATTTGTAAAGTGCTACGTTAGATGCTTGTATATGGTGTGTTACTCAAGATCTGCCACCTTTGTTCAGAGTTTTATGAACACATTTGATTCACAAACATTGAAATGACCAATAATGATCGAAATAATATCAAACAGATATGCCGAAGCATAAATATGTCATTCCCATCCCTCCACATGCTCCTCGTTTCGGTATCTACCCTCTCGCATTAACAGTAATAAAAATTCCCCTGTACCCTGCCTGGCCCGACTCTTAACCGAAAAGGAACAGGTCGCAGATGAACTACGTCCAAAGTTTTGTACATGAAACAAATATCAGCGACATTCTGTACGTTTCGTGTGATATTTCATTCCATTATCAGTATTATTATTTAATTCCTCGTGACCAACAGAGTAAATTTTTAAATGAAATGTAAGCATATATGCTTACACAAGTTACNATACATACATACATACATACATACATACATACATACATACATACATACATACATACATACATACAGCGGAACAGATCACTACTGATTTGTCCACAAAGTAATTGCTTGGATCAGAACGGCGCCAGTAGTCGAGTAATCAGACTTTCACTGTAATATGTCGCTCGATAAGTGGCAAGTAGTGTTGGCAGCGGAAAAGCAACAAAGCTTTTCGCACTCGTCGATCTGGAGTAGACAAGGACATGGCTTGAACCTACCCGGGGTGGCTTAGTTGCCCTTCGGTCTAGGCTTGTTTACTACTTTGACTAAAATGGAAACTGAGCGATAATGCGTCCCAACATACCAGTTCGACAGATGAATAGTTGGATAGGCGAATGTACCGACCGGGTGGGGTCTAATTTTACGGATCCTATGAAAGGAGAAACATAAAAATACAGAACAAGGCGCCATTCTGTGGCCGAAAGAGCCCCTAGAAAAAGAACCATTCGCGCAAACGCACACCGGGCCGGAAAGCCTCACTCCCGACCCGTTTCATTTGCAGCCTGCACAGAACATGAAGCTTACACGAGGAATAACCAGTGGAGAGTAAAAACGCAAAACAGAACATGACTTTTGAATATTTGCTCCTATTTTTTCAAGATTTGGGAGTCTTGACCTGTACGGATCATTAAGGATTTGTCATTTTATCGTGATATTTCTAGCTCTGTATTGTTTGCTTCTCGTTTGCTCCCTATCTTCCCCTCTTGTCTTGATTCAAAATATTACTGTTCACCATTACTGATGTTTTGTCTAACAAACCTGTTCAAACGGTAGCCTTCTCATTAGTAAAAACTAACAGATTATATTGTGTGCAATATATGGATATAAATTAAACTAATAATGAATAATGGGAAGTTTTAATTTTTGAGACAATTTTTTATTCGATTGGTTCAAGTACAATGCATTTTTCTTCAAAACAATAGAGTTAATTCAAACACAAGATTAGGTCTAAGAAGATTTAAGATTCGAACTGTGCACACTCACCGACTGACATACAATGCACTGTTTGTGAAGGCTGAAGGTTAATTCAAGAGAAAATAACTTTTACTATTCGAAAACTGCAGAACATTGATTCAAGTCTCTAATCATCGAACCTAGGAATGCAGTTGAGTAACTGTTCGCTGTCTGACGCTCATTTGTTGTCCTTGCCCACTTGAATAACTTTCAGCAGCTGAGTTACATGAGTTGTACTATGTGAGTAAATCACTCGATACGATATGCAGTAAATAAATCATATCGCGAATGCACATTTTTATATCGTTCAAATGTTTTTTTTAATTTGACGCGAAGTGCTTATCATCCCATTCACAGTCTAGATACTCCGTTTCACTAGCATATTTCCCGTTATCGAAAAATCCATCAGAGCTCCTCGATGAATGGTTTGATTGGTCACTTTCAAACTTTCATCCCGCTATCAAATCTGCAATCCATCCGATTCGCCAGTGTCTGGTGGAATAAATTCACTTTGACAGTACCAAATCGGATGCGAGTGGAAAAATTCGAAACCAATCGCATCGCTGTTTCGCTTTTCTCGTTTCACCGAGCGAACGAATTACATTAGTTTGTGGATTTAAGATGAATCGGAAATGATTTCAGAAGGTTGAAGAAAGGCCACGAGTTATTTCCAACTCCCAGATGTAGTTTTGCAACACCAAATAAAGGCCGTATTGGATATATGATAGGAGTACCACCTATGAATAGGTAAACTGTCGTGTCCCCTTGGTGTTGTCCTCTTCCTGTTTGATCTTTATCATGTTTTCAACTCGTATCCGTGGTCCCACGAAGCTGCGACACGCATTAGCTGTCACATCTATTCTTCTTATCTTTATCTTTTATTTTACTTCCTTTTATTTAACACATACCGGTGTTATTTTCAGGAAGGGGAAGCGGCCAATCAAAGGGCACATAATGTGGGAAAGTCAAACGGTTGTGGTGGTGGGATTTGAACACACACCCCGGAGCGATAACTTGATGACCTTTATCACTCGGCCGTTTACAGTAAATGTGATCAAGGATTGAAACCAAAACGGTAAAAATTTCGGAAAAGTCACTCTTGTTTACATTGTTCAATTAAGTCGACGAACTGCTCGACAAATGGGCTGAACTAGATTGAGGATAATCGAGTTAAAAAAAAGCCTTGGTGAGACGGCATACGGTATGCGAAGACGGCTAACCCGGAATAGGGGAACGGGATCTACCATCTGGTTCAACAGCTGAGAGGAGCCTATCCAACTACCAAGGATACACGGCCCCCTGGGTTGCATCAACATGTACCGAAAGGTGGATGGGCTCATACGGAGCCAGCGGCAACCATGCAGTAACACTCTGCTGCCTTGCAGTCCTCACTTGACTGTGCAAATGTTGGTGATGTGTCCTCGAAGAAAAAGTCGAGTGACGCTTGGGTCGTCACTCATACCAAATTCCTTCGAAACTTCATGATCATCATGGAGTCAGCCTCAGTAGAGTAACGTAAAAGTGAAACTAAACTAACTAAAACGTTCAGTAACCAAAAGCTCTCAGCTCAAAATTTCATGGTAGTGGTGCTAGCCAAATACGCATTGACCATGGTACTGCATGTTCTTTTGTTTTCCATCGTCCGATAATGATGGAAGTCCCCTTAACCAAATTCTCAGGTGGATACTGGGTCTTTCGAGTTAACTCTGAACACTTTTACGATTGATAGTTGACCGTATTCCGAGATAATTTGTGGTTGCAAATGATGGTGAATGCTCAGTATTTACGCCGCTTTGTTTACAGTGAGTGTAACTGATGTTTGTAAGCAATACAAAAAAACGTTCGGAAAAAAATACTGGCGTTTATACTGTTAAAGTTAATTTGCATTACCTTAAGTCATTCAAGGTTCCAATCAAACGTGTTTCCAACAGAATCCCAAGTCTTTGAACCGATTTCACGAGGAAAGAAATATTATGTGTTGGATTGATAATAAGACCCCATTCGGAACATGGATTTCCTAGTGGATACCAAAGCGATAACTTCCACAATTGAATATCATCATCACGTGCACAAGCGGGCCATGACGTTCATCAAAGAGCTTTTAATGATTCGTCACATAGTCCTTTAAGTGATACCGTAAGGTACATGTTCCCTTCTGACTTTTTTCAACGGCAACTTATTACAGAAATTGCAAGCTTTGCTTATGAAAAATACCAATAGAGATTGGATCGTAACGTTATTCAAAACTTGGAGTTATCAACATCCAACGGAGAATAAATTAGAAACTGTTATTCGGTGCAGTTAAAACACACTTGTGCGAACCAAATTCAAAGGCGGTTCGCATTTGTTCTTCATGATCACTGCGTTAAATGTGTTGTGACCGATCAAGTCCCGATACACGTTTTATTCGCATTCCTTCCGGTTCGAAAAAACCCGCATAGGTAAAACTGTTTCAAGGGGACCCAAAGCCAATAACAGTTGAGTATAGTTGTTTTAATCTCAAGACAGTTGTTACGGTAGTAATTGTGTACAGAATAAAGTTCATGGACCAATTTTACCTTTCTGCAGCCATAAATAATATCCATGGTCAGAGGTATCGACGTGTCTGTGGAGATGGAAATGGGAGGGGGATTAGAAGGCAGGGATTAAGGGTGAAAGGTAAAAGGTAGGAAAAATGTTCCAGGTGTGTACTGAATGTACATGCCACAGAGAGGCAAGTAGTGGCTCTGACAGCCGTGAATACTTAAAATAAGATTGATGAATAGTCACAACAGTGCGACCTCATTAATAAATAGGAAACCTCTAGACTGGACGTTGTATCACAGAAGATGGAAACGTTCATGTGCACCGGTTTTTGTCCTTTGAATCGAGACAAAATGACAGTAGATCTGACTGGCTAGATTGCTTGGGTTCGACCAGTTAACTTTCCCGTAGTGTCCGAATGCAGCTTGGAACGAAACTGTGTTCCATTAATGGAGGAATAGGTAGCCTTTAAACCGCGTTCTTTGCGACATCCGTTTAACTGGGTCTTGACAATCACTCCACCCGTACCTACATTTAAATCGTGTGTTTTCTTATGTTTGTTCAAATGATCACTTCGCATAAATCGTTTGTCGCACTGGTCACAAGCGAATCGTTTCTCGCCTGTATGCGTCCTCATATGACGTTGTAATTCGTCCGATCGAGTGAACGCCTTTGTGCATAAGGGATAAATACAACGGAATGGTCTTTCGTCGTTATGCCACCTTAAATGAGCCTTCAGATGACTTGTCTTTCCGTAAGTTTTTCCACACAGAGCACACAGGTGTACTTTGCGAGAGCCCGGGTTGAGCAATACAAATGTCTTTTTGTCCAGTGTATCTCGATTCGGACATTCGGAATTGGTTATTGTGTTCGTTATGATGCTGGTAGTAGTAGGGATGCTAGTTACGTTGGACTTTGTCGCAAACAGGCTCTCGCGGTCCACGTTGGATAGCCACTGACGATTGGCTCGTTCAGCTTCGCAGTTCAGACAAGAGCAACGTTGACACTTTCGTTGATATCGTCCATGTGTGTACGCTCTTCGTCGGGTTGTACACGGCTTCCAAAGCATGGAATTCGAATTGGGGTTCGATGTCTTGTTTGTGCGATCCACAGTCTGAGATGAATGATCTGTTGACTGAGCCGTGCTCGATGCGTGATATCTGTCAGGAAGTGTGTATATATCAGTAGCATAAGATAAACAGGAGTAAAATGTTGGAGACGTGGGACAAGGTGAACTAGTTTTCTTTGAATTAATCGTGGGAATCGAACTCCAATAAGACTCGAACGAACCCAAAGGATCATTATGGCCGTTATGTGACTTAAGCTCTCCTATCACAGGATCCTCGTCATGTGACCCGATATGAGTACATTCCGTCATGAAAGGAAGAGGGTTCTTTGCGGCCACCGACATGTCTAGGGCAAACGGCGCGGTTCTGTCAGTGGGCGAGGGAGGTGACATGTTAAAACTTGTTTTGATCCCAGGGGTAGCAATTGTGGTATTGGTACTGGTGCTGGTAACGATGGTGGCGGGGGGGAAGATCATGGTGTTATTACTGGTGGTGGTGGCACGGAAGCTAGTGGAGGTAACGGTGGTGGTGGTAATTCCATTTGGGGTGGACTGATATGAATGTAGGTTGGAAAAAGTTGAATGCACTAATGCATCGTAATTACTTGGAGCAACCGGACGAAAAGCACTGGGACTATGGCGTAGATCGGGATAGAATAGCTGTTTGGGATTGTCTGTCGAGGGTATTTCATCCTTCACCTCACCACATTCGAATTTCCTAACCTGTTCATTAAGGTGTTCTCGTAAACGGATTTTCAAGGCTTCCAATTCACTGCTCTTCCAGAAGTCTGTTTTTGGTGTTCGAACGGCCGGCTCAAGTGAACTAACCTCGTTAGATGAAGTATCCGAACAGGAGTTTATCCAGAATCCAGAATCTTCCGGTTTTGGAATAGTAAGCCACGAAGTGACCGGTTGCCACTGACATGTCCACCTAGCACCTTGAGTCGATGGAAACATAGGGAATAGTGATTGTGCATTCGACCAGACAGATGTATACTGTTGTAGTCCAAAATCCCTATCGTTGCCTAACCGGGACTGTTCGGAATCGAGAAGAATTGGCCTAGTACAATTCCGTGTATGGTCCAAGCGAATCTGTGTTCCATCCTGATTCATTGCTAAGGAAACGAATATGGCAAAGGAATGAGAAAGATGATCACGATGAAAATGAGTGCATACGAATGAGAATAAAGCTGAAAAAGTCAATACGCATTCGTTTATCATTCATATAATTACTGATATTGCCCTGGATTCGTTTCAAATGAGCATTCTTCAAACTTTATGCGAAACCCTTAGTTTATTCATTCAATCATATGCAATGCTCTTTTGCTCGTTATTCTGAAAACACCAACTGAGGAGGAAATAATGTTAATTCGCGGCGTAATTATTGGCAATCTATTTATCTACAATTTCTCACTAAGGAAAACACTAAAATTGATCAGATTTGGTGAGGACGCAACTTATTGCTCAATCGTAAATCAAACAAGTTATTTCCAGTATAACCCCCAATCAATTGAGTTATTCTGAAAAAATGTCTGTTGAATTGCCAAACATTACTAATACCACTCTGATGTTCTGATATTTAGTTACACTTCAGAGCNGTATATTGGTTCAGTTCATGGGGTCCATAAGTTTCCAAAATACACTAACGGCGCGCAATTCAAGACTAATTGAGCTTGAAAAGATCGTAGGAAAACCTTATCATTTACTGTGAACTGTGTCTAACATTACCCGACCCACAAGAGGAATGAACGCGGAATTCGAAGAAAGATATCTGTTCAAGCACTGCAGGTTTAAATTCGGTCACCACTGCATTGAAGTGACAGCAATTAGTTCACTTGGGTATGAGTATAAGGTGCGCTCAGGTACAGATGAAATCTGCCCCAAGCTTGGGATGGATGAATTCACGAACGTGAACAAAAACCTATCTTATTGATGATTTAATTGCGTCAGTAAGAAGTCACGTCAACTAGACTTCAGAAGTGCGATACTCAACGACGAAAGATTTCAGTCACAAAGGCCTGCATGGATTTGCACAACTGGTATGATCGTGGTGGCCTTCAGTCATCAACCCCACAGAAAAGCTTTGTTATAGTCCGTTGTGCTACTTCGCGGCAGTTTCAGTAAGATATCAGACAGCTTATTGTGACGTCAAGGGTTTGAACGAGTTTCTTCTGGAAAAATAGACTAGACCCGAAATCTTCAAAACGATAACACTTTTCTATATGCAGTCCCCATCACCGGAATGCGGCTGCTACGTCGTACTAATTAGCCAACATCCTGTATTCGAACTCCATTTGACGTTTGGAAATGCAACACATGCTGTTCACGGATTGAAGATATTAACCCCAATAAGAAATTATCTGATCGTATTTCAGTCATGAGTAAAAGTTCCGTGCATTCAGTCGAGGGTTTTCATCAATTCCCTCAGGCTAGTGGCAATATAATTTCGTGTGCTATATCTTAAATTAATTTCAAGTTGATAAAAAACAGGCTTTAAAGTGACTGACCATTTGAGACGTTAGTAAGAGATGATTTGCGAAATAGTTCTGAGGTTAAATGTCTGATAAATAAAAAAATCAAACTAGCGTCATGCTTACGAACCATATTTTTTTTAAATTCTGTATTGTGAATTAATTCAACACTGTGTCATCCCGTGTTTGATGAATTCATATGATCTTATATCAATACGAGAGCAACTAAAAAATCTTTGGGCACAACTGTCTTCGATAAAACAACTTGATAATAGCAAACACTCTTTTTGATAAGATCCTCGCGGGTTCCGAAATTCGTGTTCCAAACGATTTTAGTCAGAACTGTTGAACGAAGAAAAAGTAATTCCGGACTTTGAAAAAAATAACTGGCATTTTCTCACTCACACTGTCGAACTTGTCCAAACTAGTCATCTTCACTTCGGTCACACAGCTTTTCTGCGTTTCCTTTCGGGTCTAGGAACAAAAGTACGCGTAACCCTGTGTGGTGTTCCCCACCACTTCGTGTGGTTATAAGCGTGGGTAAACTTTGACTGAAGTCGGACAGGGTGAATGAAGTGCAGTACGGAACGCCCTCTCAACAGGATGATGTTCTCCGGTTGACGATCCCCATCCCCACCACCACCCCATCCACACAGTACCCATTATTCTTTAGACCAACCACCTATCATATCCTACACCTTCCTGTCCATCTCCCACCCCTGAGGTGTGATGGACTGGTATTCAAAGAAAGGAAATCATTTAAAGATTTACATGATCGTACACAATGTAGGTGGACATGTTGTATCGCGTTGCTCTGTGACGAATGGTCTATGTGTCATGTCCTGTCACATCAATGTGAGTGCGGTTAATTTTTTCCTCGCCATAGTTGAATGTAGAGCATTGAGAACTAACTTCATATTTTCACGATCCCCAGGGTTGGAAGATACTTGATCAAGTGCAATGAGAATACAGTACGATTGTACCGTTCATTCAAGTCCTCGATTGTATTTTGTGAGAGATTCGTGAGTTTTTCAAAAGCAAATCAGCTTAAGTAGTGTATGGTAATCATCAAATGATTTCAGAACACGTAAGATTATACATTATGTATTAATGATTTCTCCGAAGAGCTTGTAACTAACTGGTAGTTGATGAAAAAAACGGGTAAACGGAACAATAGAAGTAATGAGCCATAGAAACAGCAAGAGATCCATTAAATGTAGTAATAAAAAGTTGAAAACCGTGTAAGACGAACTAAATCAGGTAGCCACAGAATACATCTATCTGAAGTGCATTTTTCCAGATATGGTGCACGAAATCGTATTACCTGAGCATGATGTTGCAGAAGAGGTCTGGAAAAATTTCGCAAACTGAAAAATGTGATCAATAGTAGAGTGAGGGTGATGATGATGATGATGATTCCAATTCCTCGGATTAAGATTCGTATGATGGTAATGATGTTTAGGGTGATTCGGAAGATGGTGGTGTTGATGATAAGTTTGATGACGGTTTAACTCTTTGCGTTTTGGAGTAAACAAGCATTTTTTATTACGTCTTCTTCCAACTGCTTTGTTCCAAATATGTTTTCCCGTGTGTGCGAAATTTTATTGACCCCTATCTGAATGCTGCATTAAAGTACCATTCGTTGGTCTTCACTCGAACTCTATGCTTCCATAGTGCCTCAAATTTTAGTGGATATACAACTCTAAAGTATTTATGTTGCCTATGGTATGTGAACAATGATCGCCAGGGTTGTGCATTGTGGTCGAATTTATGGATTTGTCATTTGTTGAAACAGAGGAATGGCACACTGTTCAGAGCTGTGGGAGCTGAAAAAAGCGATATAACCCGCCCGCAAAACTCTGTGGAACAATTTTCGGAAGATTGGTAAAAAAATGCATTGATCACCACAGGTTGTTTCTAAATCTTTGGTCGATCCACATCGGTATACCTGGAAAAATGAACGCGGAATCCGAAGCCATTTCGCTAATCCCGGCACCGGACAGTTTCTAAGCGCTGTTTTAACTCAGGTCACAAGTGTATCGGAGTTACAGGGGAGTGCTTATGATAACTTTTACAAACTGCGATGATCTGTGTAAGAACAAGTTCATCTTCCGTCGTCGAATCTGCAGCGGGGGCTCTGTGATGACCGGGGGTACCATGTTTTGTGGATGCGAAATTCAAGCTGACAATTTTTTAAAAGTAATCAGACAGCGTTGTGCACAGTTGGTCGATAAATGTAGCCTTTCACAGTATCGAAGCGGGCGTTCACTGATTTATATTGATCCGAAAAGTTATATAAAAATTATTTTACACACCTTAAGCTGATCGTATATACGTACACACTGCTAGTAGATATATCAATTCATTCATCTCCTCAACCCTAGTGCTATTGAATACGATATGTAAGCCTTACTGTGCTCAATTATTGCTCGTCTGTTGCGTAGGGATCGAAGTAAAGACTTGGATGGTTAGAATTATACTGAAGAAGACAGGGTGAATTCACCAACAACGTACACAAATAACGCGATAAAGCACAATGTGGAGAGTGATTTGGCCTAATTTGGGGGGGGGGAGGGAGGCAAAGAAAGTGAACGTTTGTGGTAAATACACAGAGTACGCAATTCAAGTATGCATACCTTCTCAAGCACTTTGATCTGCTAATAAAAGACAGCAAGAACGCCACTGCTGTCGATTAATTACCATACGCACTTTGGACAGGAACAAACATCGAATGTGCCCAATACACCTCGATACACACCTACTATGGTGACCACATCCATAACCGCAGTGATACGGGTGCCATTTGCACGAATAATGAATTTTCGTTAGCATTCTTAGGTAAACCACCGGTGGGACGCCGTTCTAATTATAGCTCTGAACAAATGCTTTTCATCCTGCTCCACTTTGTTGGAAAACACAACTTCAATGAGTCAGAGCATTTGGTGAGGTGCAAAGGAAAGGAGACCAGTTAAACACTGCTGATCATACTGGGGCTTTAGGGGCTAGTTAGTAGTGAGAAGATAGACAGTATAAACATGAGAATCTCTCAGGGTAACTAATTTTATTCCTTAAGTCTGTACCAATATTCATGGTAGCGTTTGTCTTGATGACATGTCTTGACGACTAGAGGACCAAAATCGTGGCTGTCTGTTTACCCAATTAATTAATCATATCATTCCAGAAAATCTATATTATTGAAAGCTTGTGATACCACCGAGTGTACCTCCTGGATAGTATGGCTTTGATATACTTTGTATGTACTATATACCATATGGGTTACCTTGAAACGAACCATTTAAGTGGCTTTATAATACCATTTTGCGTTTCTAACATAGGCAAATTCGGCAAAGAATCCATATTTATGATGCATTTTTACCAAGTGGAATTTGAATGATTGCATAACATTTCGTGGAAGAACAAAACCGATTTTGCGGTTATTCTCCTCCGCTGAATGTACGTACTCAATATTTATCGGTGAAGTCAGTT